ACGATTTTCCTGTTCTGGTTTTGTGCAGCACCTAGCACAACGGAAATACAGTACAGGTTGGACCTCACAGGTCCGGCACCCTCAGAACCTGAGCAATTCCGAACTAAGGAATTTGTCGTTCAAGGGGACTCTCCTGGGACTCTCCTCTGGGACCCGTTCCAGCCAGTGCACTATCCCTAGCATACCTGCTTGGGCTCTGCTGCCCCGAGCTCTCTGGTGGGGCTCTTCTATGGGCCGCTGGCCAGTGGGGCTCCCTGTCCTCGGCCAGACTGCCCTCTGGGCCACCAGCCCAACTCCGGCCTCACTTTGGCCACTAGCAACATCTTCAGCTGGGGCTCTCTGGTCCTGCAACATCCTTGGTCCTACCAGCCCTCTGATGTTGCTGGACCTAAGAGTCCCAGACCAGGGACGTTCAACCTGTACAACAAATAACAGTAATGGAGATTTGGCTTGGAAAAATTGTATTCCTTTTTTTAGCTAAGCACTATTCATATATTAAACAACCAGAATATACTTAGAGACCTTGAGCATTAACAATGCAGCTGCATACACACGCAAAAGAAAAAAATAAAAAGTGAAGTTTGGGTAGGTAGTGGAGCATGAAGAGACTCAACCATTTATCTCCATTCATATGCATTGCATATAGAGTACAAATGAGATACTATACCGTAATGTTGCCAAAGATGGTAAGACATGGATTATTTACCATGCAAGGATGAAGTGTTCTTGAAAAATATGTCTATTATAGTGAGTACAGAACAACTTGTAGTATTTCTTGTTCTTCTGCAACGGTGGTTCTATTTTTTCAAACTACCATTAATTTTACTGCTTTGACATTTATATAAATCTGGAGTCTGACTCTTTTCGTATAGCGTATATGTGAGCAGTAGCACCAATAATAGAGGATGTTATGATGGCAGTTTTTCAGGCACTGAGAATGGCATTGTGAAACACATACTATGTCCGGACAGCTGTTTGGAAATATTAAAATATTTGTGTGAAAAAAAAATCATATAACCACATCTCAGATCAGCACATAGGCACATAAATGGCCTGATGGAACAAATACAGATTTGAGTGTTTTGCTAAGATCTCTTCATTTGAAAATTGGTCTATGGCTCTTTAGTTTTTTCTAATGTAGGTAGTATCCAATGGATTGAGTCCTTTTATCCTTTACTCATTAAGCGATGTGGACATGTATAAGAGAAAACTACAGCCATCAATGGCAAATATTTCATGGGATTGATGAAATTTATTGATTTACAGATGCATATACATTTTATCTTTAAAAATATTGTATTGCATTATAGTATAGGTGGAACCTGTCTAATCCAGCACTCTCTGGTCTGGCAACATCCATGCTTCAGCATGATTTTAGTTATCCAGAAGTCCACTTATCACAGGTGTTGCCAAGTTTCCTATGGTTTCATAAAATTTGTTTACAGCCACCAGTCCTAACTTTCAGTGTTCTATGCTGTTATTTAGGTCTAATTTACTCCTAAATGTCTTCTAAGAGCACAGGAAGCAGTGGAAGTGTTGATGCTAGACAATATTGACCTCACATGGTTGAGCAGGTTCCAAGGGTGCTGGACTAGAGAGGTTCAACCTGTAGCATATTTTGTTTTTTATTTATTTTAAGGGTTTCTCACTGTCATGGTATCTAGTGCATACAATTAATTATAACAAAAAATTCAAAACCCATACATGTAGATAGCTCACTGAAGCAGTTAAAGAGGAAATCCACTGGTTTTGCACCTGTGTAAAAACAGTATGGGAAAACTAGGTCAATGCTGTGGTATGCTGGAAATATGGACAAATCCTGTACCCTTGTCCAAATCCTGAGACTCATGACTGAGTGACTAAAGATAGTATGGTAATAGGTTGCTTTTTTTCTATCTCTTCTTTTACTGTTTTTGAAAGGTAAAGGGTTAGATACATTGCATACCACAGTTCTATTTTTGACCCAAGTTTGAGATGTAATGCAGCAGGATTTTCCACTGTTTGTGTTGAGTAGCCAAGGTTTAAGGGACTTTAACTTGGCCATTTGCAAATTGGGATTTCCAATGCAAGGTGACATAGTTTGAAATATACAGTCACAAAATATTTTACAAACTGTGATAGAGATTATGACTACACTTTGAGATCACTTATTTAACATGAACCACAGCTACTTCTAAAAAAAAACCATTGTGGCGCTTTAACAATTTAAAACACGCAGAGAAAACTTGAAGGGGAAGTTAAGTAAGCAGAATGTAATACTGTAGTTAGAATTTGGCCTGAACATCATGTTCATTCCTTCACTTTTGGGAAAAGTGCCATGAGTTTTTAATGACAACAGTTTTATGGTTTTATGTCTTATCTAAAAGACAGCACTTTTGCCATGAAATGTCTCTTAGCAGCACCATGCTAGGGAATTAGTTCAGTAGTGACTCAGAGGGACAGTGGAGGATATTGAAGAGCTGGCAGTTTATTAATCCTGCACTACAGTGGGTCCTAGGTGGTTAGTACATCTATGATCATAACTCCAAACCTCTAGAGCTAGTGCAAGATAATGCTGACATTCTCAACATTGTTTTGCTGCTTCCCTCAAAAGCGGAAATTTGGGGACACTTATTACTAAGAAACTCATGACGCAGAATTCCTAAGGGTCACCTGTAAAAGTAAAGCCTTCCCTGTTGGCTATCTGAATTAAATCAGTATGTTCTTTTGTTGTATTAATATATAATATGCATATCAGGTAAAAGGTATTTTACATGTGTAAAATGTGTACTGGAAGGCAGGTAGTAGTTTATATTGCACAAGTTGGTCTGCATCTAGAGCATTCATTCTGACCAGGGGAGCCCACAAAATTGTTGGGCCTCTGGGCTAGGTGGGGGGCCCTGGCTCTGTGCTCCTGGAAGGGGCAAGGTCTTGGCCAGATGGGGCAGGACTAGAAGCAGCCAGCCCTCACTACCTTCGGGACTGTGCCTCAACCCCTCTCTCCCAGACATCTCCGAGGGCTGGTTGGGGGAGGAGTCAAAACATAGTCCAGAAGATGTTGTGGGCTTCTGCTTCTAGTCCCACCCTCAGAGCTTCCTGGAGTGTGCTATATAGGGCTTCTGTTGCAATTTAAAGGGCCTGGGATGTCAACCATTGCTGCTGCTTGCAGTAGCAGTAGCTAGGTGCCCCTGGCTCTGGGGTACTGTCCTTGTTCCTCCCTCCATCCCCCTTTGGCGGGCCTGATTCTGACTGACCTGGGAAAAGTGGATTAAATAGAGTTGGGGTATTTAGTCCGTAATTGACTCAGATGAGAACAGTGTCTTATGTGGAATATATGAGAAGCATAATGGACCTGATGTTATGATCTTTGGTCCTTAAGGGTAGTGAAGGGTTTGGTCTCTAGCATCCAGTTTGGGGTTTGGTTCACAGTTTATAAGCTACTAAATATCTTTTTCTGTAAGATAATAGAGTTTTGTGATCTAACAGTGACATTTATGGTATGGTAATCAGAGACGGTAATCAGGATAGGGACAAGAGGAAAAATTAAACTTGTTGTGCCTCAGAGATGTGCTTCCAGAAATTTTGTGGATACGGATGTGGATTATATACATTTTGTATCTAGAGCCCTGCAAATTTGCAAATATATGCTTTATTTCCACAGGTATCTGCAGCTATGGATATAGATATCCATGGATCATTTCTGCAGATGTGGACGCGGATATAAATTTTTTGTTTCTGAGCAGGGTTCTACTTATTGAACTTTCCTCTGGGGAATGCAGGAGCTACATCGACTGAAATTCTTCTCTTGTACTGTTCCCATGGTCTTCATAATTTATCACAAAATCTGGTATCTTTGGAGACCATGATTGTGGGGGTTTACTATGGTAATCAGAGATGGTAATCAGGATAGGGACAAGAGGGAAAATTAAACTTGTTGTTGTGCCTCAGAGATGTGCTTCCAGAAATTTTGTGGATACGGATGTGGGTTATATACATTTTGTATCTAGAGCCCTGCAAATTTGCAAATATATGCTTTATTTCCACAGGTATCTGCAGCTATGGATATAGATATCCATGGATCATTTCTGCAGATGTGGACGTGGATATAAATTTTTTGTTTCTGAGCAGGGTTCTACTTATTGAACTTTCCTCTGGGGAATGCAGGAGCTACATCGACTGAAATTCTTCTCTTGTACTGTTCCCATGGTCTTCATAATTTATCACAAAATCTGGTATCTTTGGAGACCATGATTGTGGGGGTTTACATTTTCCTCAGTGAATAACTTCAAAACTGTCCTTCCAACATATTGAGGTATAACTTGTATATCCATTTTTTAGAATTCAGATTTCCCCTTACCACACTCTAACCTCCCTCCCCATAATTGAAGTCTTATTTTAAAAAATAGCAGTTTTAAAAGATTCAGCTCTCTAAATACCTTGTGGGATCCACTTCAAACCACTTTAAAATGATCACCTAACAAAAGATAGTGTGTACAAAATGTTAAACCAAAAAGAGTTTTCTGTATGAAAGTTGAGGTTGCAGGGGGGAAAAATTAGACTTATAAAGGAAAAAATGCCTTAAGATGTTAGTTTATGGAGTTACCACCATGGCTCCACAGTAAAAATGTGATTAAATATTTATCCATAACGCTCATCACATAGATCATAATCCTGACATGATATATGGTAAGAAAAAATGTATTTAGTAGAGGCAAAACTGGGACCTAAAAACATCTGGTCCAGAATTCCAAATGGCTCTAGCAACACCTCCATCAGCTTTTATATTTACATGGAAAAGTCAGGTAGTGAGGGGTACACTGCTTTGGAAAAAACATTGGAAAGGAAAATGCACCATACAATACTAACATTTAATTTATCACCCTATAATTTTCTCAAACCATACAACAGGACTAGCACAGTGCAAGCCTTCATGAAGGGTTTGTAGTACTTCACATATCAAATTGCAGTTTATATATGCTCAGTGAAAAATCATTTTGATGTGCCTTCTCTCTTATTATTAGGCACCACAAGGCCACATAAGGAGGGGGAGGTCCCGGGCGTGGACTATATTTTCATCACTGTTGAAGATTTTATGGAACTGGAGAAAAGTGGTGCTCTCTTAGAAAGTGGAACATATGAAGGTAAGTGCATTTTTATTGCTCAATCTGTTTTATCTTTTCTTTATGTATTTCCAATTTAGCAGAATTGCATTAGGACATCCCATTACAAATGTGCCATTGCTACAATTATGTGAAACTTATGACGAGCCAAATGGCAATTGTGAAAATATTTTTATATGAAAAAGCTAAAATGCAGATGGGTTCATTGTAGTTCTAATATATCACACGAGCTGAGAGAGACACTGAGACCATATAAGTTGTCCTGCAGCACAACAGGATAATACTCTGAGGTTGTATGAAAGAAACATTAGATCCTGATGCCAAGAACCTGAGGCAATGTAGATGAAGTTCAAACATATAATTGCTTATTTAGTGCGTTTACAGGACAAAGCAAAGTCTTCAATGAGAAAACAATTGTAGCGTTGAACACTTTCCACGTGCTTATACAATATGGATGGTCCTGTAAATATCAATGTTCACTGGTGACCAAGACATCTCAATTTAAGTAATGCAGGAGGGCTTTGTAATGTCATGTCTCTTGGGTTTTGTAAAAGAAATACTTAAAAGAATTCATTAATTTATGTGTCTGTCAAGTAGATAGGGATTCTCAGTGATTGCTGTGTTCAAAACTGTCTGTTTAAGGGGAGAAGAGCTAGCAGCTTAATGCAGAGCAATGTTCCCCTGAGGGGCATAGTTGATTCATCTGATTTCAAACCTCTTCCAAAACATAGCTATCCTGAAAGCCAAACTCTTGTGAATTGCTGAGTTGAAAATGCCAAACACTAATGAAACCAAAAATCTTCACTAAAAATAATGTTTGTTTTAAATAGAAGTATTTAAGAATAAATCTAAAGGGCCAATATTTTTATTTCAGTTATCTTCAAAAGCAAATGTAACATTAAAAACTTACCATCTTTCTTACTGAAAAAATACGTCCCAGTCCTGCAGGGAGTTTTGTGTGGGCAAATTCAGTGGCAGGATATGACCCCATATTTGTACCATGTGATAAAACTGGCAATAATAATTTTTATCCTGACCTTGTTCCAATCAGAAAAAAACTCTCAAATAAAGAGCTGTTTCCATAAAAGAAAATAATTAGCTCTCTTATAATTAGCATGAAGTGAAGTAAATCTTCTCTTACCTAATCAGCGCAAAGTACCCATTGGAAAGTAAATACATTTTGATAAAAGGCTAGATCAATACACAAATTATGGCAAAGAAGAGTTCCCATTAACAGAAGACAAATAAATGAAAAATGTGTCTCTTTCCTTCTATTCTCTTTTTTACTGTGTGACATTAAGGAAGAAACTTGCATAAATAATAACACAAAGGTAAGGTAATACTGCAGTGGTGCATTCATTGGATCTTCATTGAATGCTAAGCCATCTCTGTAGGTCTCTTTATGTTAATTTAGGTTTTGAAGGTCACATTAAAGTTAAGTAAGTTTAGCACAGGTCTGTCAATGCTTGACAATGTAATTTCATTAGTTTGTAGCAACATTGTAGAGGTTAACCTGCTCGTTCAAATTAAATCACAAGGTTCTTTCTTTCCTTGAGGGATACAGAGAAGTGTCTTTTAATACCAACTACCAGAAGCTGAGTGGACAGCAAAGTGAAATGTTCTGAATTTGTTGATTGGAAAGCTGTATGAAAGCATCAGTCTACTGAAAATGTATCTGGATAAGGGACCACAAGGCAACAAAATGTCTAATATATCTTTTCTTGTGTGATTTTTGGCAATCTTGCCATTTGCCAAAGACAAACCAAATACAAATCTTTTCCCTACCGCAAAGGTCTTCCATTACAATGTGTGTCAAAGCAGTTAAGTTGATAATGTGCTGGGACGTACACCTGGCTTACACATGGGCAGTGCTGCCTTCTTCTTTAAGAACGTAAGAATGGTCATACTGAGTTAGACCAAAGGTCTATCTAGTGTAGTATCCTGTCATCTGACAGAAGCCAATGTCAGGTGTCCACAGACAGTGAACAGAAGAGGTAGTGATAAAGTGATCTATCTTCTGATGCCCATTACTAGCTTCTGACAAACAGAGCCTAGGGACACCATCCCTGCCCATCCTGGCTGATAACATGGATGGACCTTTCTTTCATGAATGTACCTATTTCTTTTTTTAATGCTGTTATAGTCTAGACCTTCACAACATCCTTTGGCAAGAAGTTCCCAGGCTGACTGGGGCTGTGTCTAGACTACACCTCTCTATCAACAGAGAGATGTAAATTAGGCACGTCGAAATTGCTAATGAAGCGGGGATTTAAATATCCCACATTAGCATAAACATGGCTGCTTCTTTTTTTTCAAAACTGAGCTTTTTCGGAAAAAAACGGCAGTCTAGATGCGGTTCTGTCGAAAAATAAACCCTTTTTCGAAAGATCCTGTATTCCTCCAAAAATGAGGTTTACAGGATCTTTCAAAAAAGGGTTTATTTTTCGACAGATCCACATCTAGACTTCCAGGTTTTTTTCGGAAAATGCTCCATTTTTAAAAAAAACAGCAGCCATGTTTATGCTAAGGAAGCACGCAATATTTAAAGCCCAGATTCATTAGCAATTTCGACGTGCCTAATCTACATCTCTCTGTCAACAGACAGGTGTAGTCTAGACACAGCCTGAGTGTTGTGTGAAAAATACTTCCTTTTTGTTTTGGTTTTTAATCCTTCTGCCTATTAATTTCATTTTGTGACCCCTAGATCTTGACTCATGAAAGGAGTCAATAGCACCTCTTCATCTACTTTCTCCACACTGGTCATGATTTTATAGATCTCTGACATATTCCCCTTTAATCATCTCTTTCCCAAGCTGAAAAGTCCCAATCTTATTCATCTCTCCTCATATATGGCAGCTGTTCCAAACCCCTAATCATTTTATTGCCCTTTACTGAACTTTTTCCAATTCCAATATCTTTTGTTGCAATGAGGAGACCACATCTGCACACAGTATTCAAAATGGGGGTGTAGACTAGATTTATATAGAGATGATATGATATTTTCTGTCTTATCAACTAACTCTTTCTTAATGATTCCCAACAGCTTAGTTTAGGGGTCATAAATAGTTAATTATTTTTGTTAGGTTGCAAACTTCACTTCTTACACTTCTGTTCCTCACTGTTATAGTATTGTCCAGTTTGCCTGAATCCAAACACTACCCCTCATGGGAGTCTAAGAGGTTGCATCAATAGACTTGGGTTCACAGAGTTTCTCCTATAGTTCTAAAATATTTGAGTAGACTAGAGACTTGGGCTCTGAAGCTCACCTCCCTCCCAAGGTTTCAGAACTCAATCTCTAGCCTGAGCTTCAATGTCAATACAGCTATTTTTAGCATGGCAGCACCCTGTACTTTTCATCTCCTGACCAATGACCCCAAAATTGGATTATTATAAAGTTTTCCAATGTTAGAGACGAAACAGGCGTCCCAGGAGCAGATGGGGTAAACGGAACCACTTTATTGCCTACACACATTTACCTCATACATTAACACAGTGTTGGAGTGGCAACAACCTGGTGACAATCACACCCTTTTATCTTTTTTAGTATGTTAATTCACATGTCTATCACTGCTTTTCCTAAAGCCTTATTTAGTAATGTTAATTCCCATAAAATGAATATTAATAAGCAAATAATGAATACAATTATACCCGCCCCTAATTACTATTTACAGAATTTCTAATTGAATCAACACTTCCTATGCTACAAACTAACAGGTCACAGAGATTACAAGGGATTTCGACCCTGAATATATGTTATGCAGAGCCAATGAGGATAAGCAAAAGACACAACAAAGTCAAGCTGAATGCTTATCTATTTTCCAAGGCTGCCAGGATAAAGGGGGAAAACATGTTTGAAGGGCAATGGCAATGCCTTTTCTGGTTAGACCCCTTACCCACTAATGTAGAGCCATTCCAGACCCCAATTAATATTTACACCCTCCAACATCCAACATCTATTAAAAAAGATGGATGAGGCCCTCCAAATCCCTGTTGTGGAGGTACAGGTATAGACAAACAAGTTAATGGACATAATTCAGGATTCCTTGTGAGGAAAAATAATCCTTTGAGTCAATGGGAATATCATGGACCGTGGCAGATTCCTGTGGCAGACACTTGCTTTATTCCTCACTGCCACCTCTCATAAGGCATATAGGAAATACTAAGTACATCTCAAGGGTGTAGAATTCTTTTACATGCACCCTATCACATCCTGCCTTGTGGCCACAGTGATGGATGAAAAAGCAAAACAATTCAAGTCCACACCAAAAAAGAGCCAGCCAAATAAACTAGCTGGCTCTTTATCTGGCTGGAAAACCTATTTCTTGGTGAGCATACAGTTTTGCATGGCCAATTATCAAGCTATATTGTCCAGGTATTACTTCCACACAGATTAAAGACTTCTTTACTGTGAATAACTTGCCCAATGAGATTTGTAAAAACTTCACATCGCTAGTCATTTAGAGTCAGCTAATGGCCAGGAGAAGTCGCCAAGTGGTGGATACAGCTGCTAGACCAATGCCAGCTTTTGTTATGAGAAGGACATCATAGCTTCAGGGATGAGGATTTCCCAGGGAAGTCCAAACAATGATGGAAGACACACCTTTCAGAAGAGCTGAATTGTTCATTTCTAAGACTGATGAGGCCCTCCAAATGCTGAAGGATTCATGAGCACCCTACATTCCTTTGGAGTCTACATACCAGCTCCTCAGAGGAACCACATAAAATAGTTTTAACCCTCACGGAGACTGATCCCTTCAAGAGAAACATCCTTTTGAACAGATGACCAGTTTCTAAGTACCAAGGAAAAGAACGAGGAAGGATCTCCCTTTCTGTTACATGGGCTCCAAAGAGGATCAGAGACAGCTGGAGAACTCCTGCTAAGATCCAGTGAAGCAATTTGGCATCAGATTTGCTCTAGTCCCTCTTGTACAATTAGGTATTGTTGGAAGTGGATGATTTATTTATATTTATATCATAGCAGTGACTGAAGGTTCCATTTTAGGATACATCGTACCATGTGA